AGAGGATGACGTCACTCTCTCGGCGCTATAGTAACAGAGTGTTTGGTCTCAGGGTGAGGAGCACCTGGGCCAGCTGGCATATTCACCTGACTGAGGGGACGATCTGTCTCTCTCTCTCTCTCCCTCTCTCTCTCTCCCTCACTTACACACACACACACACACACACACACACACACACAGTCTCTTTCTCTCTCTCTCTTTCTCTCTCTCTCACACACAGTCTCTCTCTCTCACACACACATACACACACACATACACACACAGTCTCTCTCTCACACACACACACAGACACAGTCTCTCTCTCTCTCTCTCACACACACAGTCTCTCTCACTCTCACACACACACTCTCTCTCTCTCACACACACACACACAGTCTCTCTCTCTCTCTCTCTTTCTCTCTCTCTCTCACACACACAGTCTCTCTCTCTCTCTCTCACACACACACACACACACACACTCTCTCACTCACACACACAGTGTTTCTTTCTCTCTCTCTCTCTCTCTCTCTCTCTCTCTCTCTCTCTCTCTCTCACACACACACACACACACACTCTCCCTTTCTCCCTCCTATCTTTCTTTTTTTCACTCTGTCTGTCTTTCTTTCTTTCTTTCTTTCGTTCTTCATTCCTTTCTTTTTTCTTTCTTTCTTTCTTCCTTTCTTTTTTCTTTCTTTCTTACTTTCTTTCTTTCTCTGCTCTCTCTCTCCTTTCTCCCTCCTCTTTTTCATTTTTTTCTTTGTCACTCTCTTTCTTTCTCTTTCCTTCTTTGTCACTTTCTTTCTTTCTTTCTTTCTTTCTCTCTCTCTCTCTCTCTCTCTCTCTCTGGGAAAGCCCCTGAGCTCCAGCACAGCTCGACATTTCCTTGGCTCTGTCCAGCTCACATCAAGTCTAGTTATTTTAGATCTAGAACCCTCTGTAGAACTTAACCTCTTATTAACCTCTATAACTTATTCTCTGTCTAATTCACTAATACCTCAGTTATGTAGATTAAGCCTTTCAGTCTTTAGGGCCTGTTTATGGTCCCTCACCTCAGTGAATAAAAAACAAAAATCCCGTTTGCCTCTTCCGTCTCTCCCGGGCGAGATGGTGCTGCAGCTAAAGGTGAAGTGTATTGTTATATGAGTAACTGAGGCTAAGCCCTGAGTCACGGGTGTAAAATTGCATAAGCAGCGATATAAAGTTTCCAATAAAAACGCGACTGCTCCACCTGCACTGTCAGTAGTGACTCCTCAGCGAGCCACTCTCTCTTAAACGGTCACGCCGAGGCTGATGGACTGAGTCAATTTAAGGACGGAGATTCGTAACATCCATTTCTGGGTGTTGTTTTTGGATCTGTTTTTACTCTGCGGCCTCTGATGAGTAAGAGGAGAGCGCAGATGAAGGAAGGCCGACCTGCAGTCAGAAACCACAGAGCCAAATCACCAGCGGGCAGCGCCTCATCAAATCCGGTTTAAACTGACGCACAAACCCACGTAACCAGCACTGCCTGCGCTGTACACGTTTCAGGGACACTCAGGTCCTCCACCCAGGCCGAACGAACAGGACTAAACTGGTACTGGGCAGCTATGCAGGGTGGGGGGGGCTGTAATCAGTAGCATGGCTGATGCTTAATGAAGTTTTCACTTTATTATTATTTATTTATCAAAGTGGCCTTAAAAGAGTGCAGATGTGCCCTTTAACGAGGTACAAACCACTCTGCAAAACGTTTGTATGACGTGGAAACGAGCACAAACGATGAATCAGCTTCAGTGCGTGAAATCAAGCATCAGCCCTCCAGCACCTTATTTACATATAATTTCCATAAAGCACGCCCCAAGTCATGCGGATGTTCGGGAGGAAGCTGATTGCATTCAGCAGCTCTTGAGCCAACGACTGTACTCGTAGGTGGAGTTTGAGCTTGAGCAGTGAATGCAGAGCTCCCCCTACTGAGCAAACTTCATAGTGTTAAAATTACGACGACTGGAAAGAAAAAAATGTGAAGTGAACCAAAAGTCTTTTTAAGGTAGACTGATGTGATTATTTTCCTAAAACAACATATTCAAATGCTGTATTATTGCAGTGTATGAGATGCTTCTGAGATGCAGTAGCTGTGTTTTGTATTGTTTATTTTGTGGGCGGAGTCAGTGATATATAACAAAAGCACAATATAACGCACGTCTGTCAAGCACAAGGCCCGTGGGCCAAGTCAGGCCCGTAACACACTCCTGTTCAGCCCACAAAATGGTTTTGATTTTCTGTTAATATTAGCCCATTTCACCATGAGCTGCACTACAGTCCCCAGCATGCACTGCAACATAATGTGCGCCCCCTTTCTTTACACATAAAGAAAAGGTGCCTGATGTCTAGTTCAATCCGACCTGAGCCACTTTCATATGTGTTCCTAGATCGGATATCCGATCCGTGGCCATGCAACCTTAATGGCTACGTTTACATTACAAGCCTCATTGCTCAAATCTGATTTTTTGCTCAAATCCGATCTCTCTGACACGATGGTTCACACTCGTTTAGGTAAGCGATTCAAATCTGTCATTAATGTGACGAACCGGCGTCCTGAAATGACCCTCATGACCTCATCCTACTCAGTAACGTCACGTGAATGAATCACTGCATCATCAGCACAAACTAACGAGCAGAACGAGCTTCGCTGAGAAGATAATTAACTCTGATCAGCTCTCAGCTTCATTATTAGAGCGAGACGAAGGAGAAAAAGGTGAGATGAGCTTCTTTTCCACCGTTTACAGGCTTTAACTTCTGTTCGACGCTGCTGCCATGGTAACGCTGAATGATGGCGCACGCGCAGTGGAAAAAAAGCACATGAATTCTGATCTGAGCGTCACATTAAGGTCGCATGGCCATGAATCGGATACGTATCCGATCTAGGACCACATATAAAAGTGGCTCAGGTTGGATTTGAAAAGATCAGATTTGTGTCCACACATCTCTGAAAACTTCAGATCTGAGTCACATTAGGACAAATCTGATTTGTGCCACTTCAACATGCTAATGTGAACGTAGCCTTTTCAGACTAGACATTTTTGTTCATTGACGCACGTGATTCGTTCACGTGACCTTACTAAGATGTGCCCATGAGGGTCATTTCAGAACGCCGTTTCGTTCACATTAATGACAGATTTGAATCACTTACCCAAACGAGTGTAAACCATCATGCCAGAGAGATCGGATCTGAGCAAAAAATCTGATTTGAGTATGAGGTTTGTAATGTGGACGTAGCCTTAGTGGTTGAGTTTGACAACCCTAAAGACATATTTTAATATGTCTTTAAACAGAACATGTAATATTAGTAGAATATAATGGTTAGCTGCAGTGCAAAAGCCAGTCGTTACTTATTATAGAACAGTTGGATCCGATGGCACTATCTGATTGGCTGAGAAGCATTCCAGCATTATTTATCATAAGAGCACGGCTAGAATGCTTCTTAGCCAATCAGATTGGGCCGTCAGTACCGACTGCTGCGTAATAAGCAACAATTGGCTTTGCACTGAGAGTGATGAAGGTGTTTGAAGGGTTAACGGTTGGTTTGGTGTGGTCCTGTAGCTGGCAGGGCAGGGCGTGGTGCCCCCTCTCTCTCTCTCTCTCTCTCTCTGTGTTTCTGGGTTAGGGGAATACCAGCTGCCCGCTGAGCTCCTGACGGGCCGCCAGGCTGCTGCGGTGCTCCGGCCGGCTGCAGACTGCACTGTGTCGCCCCACGCTTTATTTTAGCTCCGCTCGCTCTAATCACTTCCAGCCCTGCTGCGGTGGGGCCTGAGGGGGGAAAAAACGAGGGAAAAAAGAAAGCTTTCCCTCTATTACTCTGCTTCTCTCTTTTTTCTCCTACTCCCTCACTGTCCCAGTCTTTTTCTCCCATTCTCTCTCTCTCTTCCCCTTTCACTTTCTCTCTCTATCTCTCTCTATCTCTTTAACTCTGCCCCACCCCTTTTTCTCTCTTACTCTTTTTTCCCCTTTCTCTCTCTCTCTCCCTCTCTCTCTCTATCCCACTGTTTTTTCTTTTTCTTCTTCTGTTTCTTTTCTTTCATTTCTTTCATCTTTCATTCTCTTGGGCTCCATCACTTTCACAGTCTGTTCTCTTTCTCTCTCTCTCTCCTATTTTTCTTACATTCTCTCGTTCCCTCTGCCCCTTTCACGTTCTTTCTTTTTTTCTATTTCTCTTTATCTCCCTCCTTCTTTTCTCTCTCTCTCTCCATCCCACTCTTTTCTCTCTTTCTCCTCTCCATTTCTTGCTTTCATTCCATCTTTCCTTCTCATTCTCTCGGTCTCCCTTCTCACTTTCCCAGTTCATGCACTTCATTCTCGTTCTCTCTCTCTCTCTGTCACACTCCATCTCCCCCTTTTTTTCCCTCTCTCCCTTCTTCTCTCCTTCTTTGTCTCACTCGTTTTCTCTTCAGCTCCCTGTCCTTCTTCTGTTTCTTATTTTCTGTTCATGTTTCTATTTTCCCCATTTTTTCTTCTTTTTCTCCCTCTCTCTCTCTCTTAGTCTTTCTTTCTGTATCTCACTCAATCCCACTCTTTTCTCTGTCTTCTTCACTCTCTCTCTCTCTCAATCTCTCTCTCATATACTGTTTCCAGCTTTCTGTCTCTCCTGCTCTCCGTCTCTTCAGCTGTCTTTAAAGCACTTCATTTTCTTCTCCTCCTGTCTTTTCTTGTCTCTCCCTTTTCCTGTTTCACACTGCGAATCCTCTGGAAGCCTCTCTCTCTTTCCCTCACAGAGACGCTGCTGTAATGTTGCTCTCATCATTCTTCTGTTTGGCTATCGCGTCTGTCCGTCTCATTCAGTGAGTTTTTTAATCCAGTTCCACTTTTTTCTGGACCCACCAAACTGCTGCTTGTGGGTGTGCCAAAGCGTGCAGCAACAAAAAGGGAGAGACGCGTGTCAACACCACTCAGCATCAGCCGCTGCACTGCTGAACAGAGGACTAAACTGAAATTAGATCTCTCTCTCTCTCTGTGCTGGTCCCTAAATGCCTCTCTCTCCCCCCCTGCAGGAGAAAGAGAAGAAGTACATGTTGCAGGTGGACAACCTGAAGCTGAGAGATGTGGAGAAGAGCTTCATGTCCAGCAAGCACATCTTCGCCCTGTTCAACACAGAGCAGAGGTCAGATAAAATCCTGTGACGTCATACAGGCGTCCAAAAAGACAGCACACACCATGATGACCACTCACTCTTCCCCTTAACCCCAAACGTAGTCGCTCAGCCAACATGTTTTGCGTCTTAAGTTTTGCACTGGAGCCAAGGTGTGAAATACATGGCATTCTGGGGGGTCCAGGACCCCTAATTACCCTCTTGGATCCCCCTGAATGTCTTAAAATTCTGGGGGGTCCCTGAAAATAAACTTTTGACGTTATGCTGTCATTGTTTAGCTGCTTCTCTCACAATCAGCGGGATTTTGTCTTGGGCATTTTGAACTAACTAGAGATGCAGCACTGATCTGCCTCAGGGTGGCGCTGTAGCAGACTGGTTCACCCAGTTGGTCCTTCATAGCCTAACCAGAGAATGGTTTCCCAAACACTAGAGAGTCCAAAATGAACGGGTTGATATGGAGCATTTGAGCAAAATCATAGTTTTAACACTGCTGTTATATTTTAAGAGCTTTTAAGTTATATGAGTTTAAAAAGGAGCTTCATGTTCATTCATGATGTCTGTGAGCGCAAACAGCCAATGAGCTGCTCTGCCTGCCAGCCAATCAGCACTCAGTAGCAGTAATGTTAGCGTTCTGCTGCCCAAAATGCTTTAGAATAAAGGAACCATACAGGTCAGCTTCTTAGTTTTTTAGTGAAATCCATCCTTCTACTCTCTAAAATTAAAGGAAAGTTCTGGTTCAGTGATTAGAAACTATTTTAACTTTTCGTTTTTAGCCGTTGAGCTCCATTCACCCCCATTCATTGAGGACTCGCTCGCGGGCGCCCTCTGCTGTTTTGCAGTAATGTTTTTTTATATAACTGGCGAAATAGAAAGTGGCCAGGCTCCTCATAAACCAGCTTTGGCCTAATACAGGGGTCAGCAACACAGAGCTCCATAATTGTGTGGGGCTCTTTTACTGCCCTGTTGTGGCTCCACAGCAGAATTAGATGTTTAGGTAAAAATAAAATAATCCTCCTTTACAGTAAAATAAAGCTCTGCTGATCGTTCAACACAGTTTAACAGTAAATGGTCTTAAACGCTGCAGTTAATGTAGAACTGCTAATTCACCCTTTAACCCTGAAGGCTGGTGCACAGACTGCTGGTCAACATAGCAACACAGAAAACAATCTTGCCTACCTAGCAGCTAACGAAAAGGCAAAGAGCAAGACTTAAGACAAACATCGATAATTTGGAGACGAGTGGACTTTAGTAGGCACTCCAGCTGGTTTCCTTATTTGTTTTATCCGCAACGAGAAACTGTCAAACACTAAAAAGTCACAAAGCTGAAGTCTTGTTCGAATTGTGCCGTTCCACCTTAAATGGTGCCGCAGTTACATTCTGGCTTCTCAGTCACCATTTAAGATGGAACGAAAAAATTCAAACAAGAAGCTGGAGAATGAGACGCGACTTCAGCCTTGTAAAAAGTTGAACTTAAGAGACATTTTACAAGAAACTGTTCCACTTTTGCGGAAAAGTTTCCTGCTGGAGATGCGAGAAAAGCGGCTATAGCTGAGCTAAAGCTTAAAGCAGAGTAAAGTAAGTCTGCGTTTTCATTTATATTATATTTTTTAGCATATACTGGTACATTAACACATACTGAGACACATTTACTGCTAAGATGGTAAAATGGACATGAAATATTGTGGCTCCCAAGGTGGTTTGTTTTTTATTGAAAAGCAAAATGGCTGTTCTTAATATTCCGATTTCCGACCGCTGGACTAGCAACTGTAACTGAGAAAATGTACAGTATGTCAAAACATATTTGTAAATCTGAAAACTTGCCCAGTTCTCCCAAGAAATTGGTGGAAGAGTGAATTAAAGCTAGCCTCAGCGCCGCTATGCTGAGTGAGCAGCTGGATTAGTGAGCCAACATGGCTCACCCCCAAAAACCTGGGGGCCTTACTGAGTCATGGCCACGACTCAATCATCTCATTCCCACGCCTTAGTAAGGCATGGCCATGCATTAGGATCTCGTTCCCACACGTTAATAAGGCGTGGCCACGCATTATTTTTAATTACACAGGATGTCACTAGCAAGGCTCTGTAGAATTTGGCATATTGAAAGAAGAATAAAACATGAAATGTGCAAAAGTTATGGCACATTTTATTTGTTGTTTTATTACTTTCAGTTTGTTAAACCCAGCAAATAAAATGTCATATTTAGGTGTGTTCTCTGTAATTTGATCAGGGGTGCCCAAATTTTTGCATATGACCGATTGATTTCAGCTGATGCTGCTTTATTCAGTGTGGTTTACCTGAGGAAACTGTATATGTTTGATTTTAGTATGACTTTAATGAGTAAAATGATTTCTGAAACATTTGTGGACTCAAAGTTTAGTGTATAAGGTACTGTTGGCATGTTTCTCACTGCTCTCTCTCTCTCTCTCTCTCTCTCTCTCTCTCTCTCTCTCACATGTACACACAGGAATGTGTATAAGGACTACCGTCAGCTGGAGTTGGCCTGTGAGAGTCAGGAGGAAGTGGACGGCTGGAAGGCCTCTTTCCTGCGAGCTGGTGTTTACCCAGAGCGCGTGGTGGTGAGCTGTCCTCACCGCACTGTGTCTCAGTGCAACGTCTGCTGCGTTCAGATAGGATTTTGATAAGATATTTCAGTTTCTGTGCGATTCTTTAGGAAATTTAGTGAGCTGAAATTTTACTTTTCACAATTTGGCTCAGTTAGATTTTTGTATGAATCATTTTTAATGATTTAAAAACAGAATAAATAAAAAACTCATAATAAAAATAACACCGTAGCATCTGTGAAGTCACTGTTGTGATGTGGTTACTGATAAGGTTTTAGATAAATAAACCCAAAACAAATAACCCCAGTTTTATTGTAGTCCATGCATATATAAATGTATTATTCTTGCGTCATTATGCACCAAATTATGCTTACATATGTGGTTGTGGAAGTGCTGTCTGTCTCTCTCACTTCGTACTGTGTTTCTTTTTCCTGGCAACCCACTAGGAGAAGGATAAGGTACAGTTCTCAGCACTCATTTTTACAATTTCTCAATGAGATCTGGCAACCCAAACTTTGGGTTCCCTTCACATCACAGTTCAATCTGGTAATTTTGAGCTGTAATGCTCCTACAGAGTGTATCAATACAAACTGGCAATAAATATAGCAGTACAATCTGGCAACCCAAAGCTCTCCTTTCTCTTAATATATTAGTGCAATCTTATTTTCTGTAATTTGTCAACAAAATCTGGCAACCCCAAGATGCCATTTCCCTTCAGTATCTCAGTTCAATCTGGCAACCTTTAGGTCTACTTTCCCTCAGCATCTCAGTGCAATCTGGAAACTCTGAGCTGTACTGTCCCTTAATATATCGGCACAATCTGGCAACCCCAAGCTCTGCTTTTCTTCAATATATCAATGCAATCTGGCAACCTTGAGCACTCTTTTCCCTTCATATACCAGTGAAATCTGACAAGCTTGAGGTTTGCTTTCGGGTTAAAATATATTGGTACAATCTGGCAACCCTGAGCTCTACTTTCTCTTCATATATCAGTACAATCTGGCATCCTTGAGTTCTACTTTGCCCTGATATAACAGTGCAATCTGACAACCCTGCTCTGTACTTTCTCTTCATATCAGCACAATATTTAGTTTGATTTATTAATTTCAGACTCATAACTGACAGGTAAGAAATACAACTAAGAGCGAATGAAGTATTAAACATTCACTTATACATACAATTAATAATCATTAGAAATAATAAATTAAGAATTTTCTGTTTTAAATTATTACATAGATATTTATTTCAAATATTGATACTCATTAATTGGGCCCCTACTATAAAATTCCAACTGAACTTGATTACGTATTTATAATTATTTAAAAAAAATGTATGACTTGTTACTTGTTATTAAGTAATAATCAAGGAATATCATAATAAAGATGATTAACCAAGCTTTAATTATGAACTACTTCATTCAAATTAGAATGTAGACATTTATTATTCCAAATAATTGTAAATAAAGGTTGTATTTTTTAGCTATGAATATCAAATAACTAGATAATTGTTATATACCTTAATCAAATAATTAAACAATTGTGACTATTATTAATAATAATTTTTGATTATTGAAATGTCACCAAGTGAATCGTTAATCATTTAAATGGTAGCATTTTTTAATTTTTTGACTTAACGTATCTAATAATTATCAAAGTGTGAACAATTGTTACCAAATTATTAAATAACGATTAGGCTGCTGTTTATTTGGGTCTAATTATGCAGTGTTAAAACTCCAAACAGCGAATTTTTCTCTCTTCTCGCCACGTTTAGAGCGACACCAGTGAAGAGAACGGCTCAGACGGCTTCATGCACTCCATGGACCCTCAGCTGGAGAGGCAGGTGGAAACCATCCGCAACCTGGTGGACTCCTACATGGGCATCGTCAACAAGACCATCCGCGACCTCATGCCCAAGACCATCATGCACCTCATGATCAACAATGTGAGTGGCAGACGGCTGTGGGTGAAGGTGGAGAGCGCAGTGTGTACAGCAGGACCTCACGTGGGGCTGCTTTAGGGCCTGTTTGTGATGTGAGTCACGCCACAGTACGTTAGTCACTCTGAGACAGATATACAGAGTTGTTGTGAGTCGGGGTGAGTGGCTTCCTCCTCTCTAATCTTCTTAAATGATCTCAGCGGTCAGTGTGCAGCTTAACCACTGTCCCTGGGCTGCTTGTTGATAAACAGCGTACATACACCAGAGCTGCAGGGGGCACGGGTGCAGTCCTGAGCTGTTTACGCAAGGCTCCTGCACTTCCTGAGAAAGTCTTATAAAGTCTTAAAATAGTTTGCAGAAATGTAATCCGAGTCACCACAAGCAGAAATGGTGATTTTGGTCCTGTCGGTCATTTTTTAGATCACATTTCTTCCCTTAAACTGTATTCATAGAAAACTCAACAGTGTTTATTTCTGCCTGTGTAGCCAATTTGCATCCACACACATCTAAATGTATTTTCCCAGTTAGTTTATGGAGGGCACAGCACAGCCACACGGCACAATTTATGCCAGATATGAATAAAAAGATAATTCTCTAATTAATCTTATTTGAATATCCAAGTATGTCTATTTTCTTTGTACTACTGACAGCATTTAGACAATGGCCTGAGATCCCGCTGGGTAATGCAATTCTAGGCCCATTCTATCCCATACAAATTAAAATAATGCGTGGCCACGACTTACTAAGGTGTGGGAACGAGATAATTAAGTCGTGGCCACGACTGAGTAAGGCGTGGGAACGAGATCATGCCTTGCGAAGTCGTGGCTACGCATTAGAATCTCATTCCCACGCCTTACTAAGTCCTGGCCACAACTTAATTATCTCATTCCCACGCCTAACTAAGTCATGGCCACACATTAGGATCTCGTTCCCATGCATTAATAAGGCGTGGCCACACGTTATTTTTTTTTAAGGGATGTCACCAGCATAATCATCATAATTGGATTTCAGCAGTTATCTGATTATTCAAATGGTCATGTAAACACCATACTCCCACCTAGAAATCCGACTAAGAAATCTGATAAAGAGAGCTGGATTTTAGCTCAGTAATCAGATTTCTGAGTGTTGTAAACTCTTACTCTGATTTCTTTCGGATTTCTCAGTCTGAGCATGTGCAAAACAGACTACTGTACTAGAAATAAGCGAGCAGTGAATCCGCGAGACACAGCAAAACACTTTTGGAGCAACACTGAAGCCAAATACATGCTTGATGATGAAGCATTTAAATGTTCTTCATCTTCTAGATGACGGATGTTCATATTTTCAGGTAAAGTGGCGCGATGTTTTTTTAAAAAGAAAAGAGCCGCGGCATGACGTTTGAGCTTTATGTTATGTTTACGTCACGTCTTCTTCTGTGAGTTTATTGGCTGGTTGCAAAGCAGAAATCTGATTACTGTCTGACTCATGTAGACCCAGAGTTTCCCCATTATCTGATTACTCAAGTGCATATAAATGCTTTGTTCGGATTACTGACAAAATCTGATTTTCTGCAGTTATCAGATTACTAAGTGCATGTAAACACGCTCAGTGATGTTGAGGTCTGGACTCTGGGATGGACAGTTTGTCATTCTCTAGCTTCTTGTTTTGATTTTTGAATGTTCCTCTTTTCTCAGTGAGGTTCTTCTTGACAGCTACACATCCTTTCAGACCCATAGCCTTGAGTCATCTTCTCAGAGTGGAGGGATGGACAGAAGCACATGTGGATTTTTTCAGATTTGAAGCAGCTTGATTTTTTCTCTCAAGGATCAAAGCTTTAAGTGCTGTTTGTCTCATGGGGACAGTGTTGGTGGTCTTCCAGGCCTTGCAGGTGGTTGTTAGGAGTCCCATTTTTGCTGTACTTTGAATAATATTTTTAATAAAACGCCATTTTGGAAACTCCTTAAAGTGGATTATCTTATATCTATTATCTGTATCAGACATATCTCCTGAACAATTAATAACTTGTACTTATAGGGCATTTTGAGTGGAAATTAATTAAATAAAGGGTCTCTGACTTTTGCACATTAGTACATACGTATTATATCTCTTTCTCCTGCCCCTCTAAACAGACAAAAGAGTTCATTAACGCGGAGTTGCTGGCTCAGCTGTACTCGTGTGGAGATCAGAACACTCTGATGGAGGAGTCTGCGGAGCAGGCCCAGCACAGGGACGAGATGCTGAGGATGTACCACGCGCTCAAGGAGGCGCTCCACATCATCGGAGACATCAGCACCAGCACTGTCTCCACCTCCCTGCCACCACCTGTGGATGACTCCTGGCTACAGGTGCAGCGCACCGGCTCCGGTGGAAGGTACGAGATAGTGAGAGAGACATAAAGGGAGATTCTCAGCAGAATCGTGTTCAGTACATAGTCTGAGAGCTGCAGAGACATCGTACTGCGAAGCTGGCCAAAAACTCCAAAACATGATGAAGTGGCGCCACCTGCTGTTGAAAACTGACTAAAGCTCCTTCTTGAACTTTTACAGGAAAAAAGCTGGCCAAAAATCATCTACCAAGCCCAAATGTAGTTGATCAGACATGTCTGGTATCCAACGTTTACATCGTTGTCCAATGAAAACCATGTATCTCCATTTTTTCCTTTACATTGTCTGAAAATTTCATGATGATTGGACCAATAGAAATGCTCCAAAATTGCTCAGAATAGAAACTCTTTCCATTAACTTACGTTGAAAGCAAAGAAAGTTTTTGTCTCCTGTAAAATTACTATTTTGGAGATGCTTGTTTTTCTTTGGACAGCGACAATTTGCACTGGAGCTGCTACTATCTGTCCAAAAGTTTGTGGACATCTGCTCATTTAGTATTTCTTCTAATATGAATGGCATTAATAGGGAGTTTGTCCTTCTTTGCTGCAATAACAGCCTCTGCTCTTCGGGAAAGGTTTAACACTAGATGTTGGAACATTGCTGTGAGGATTTGATTACATTCAGCCATGAGAGCATTAGTGAGGTCAGGTAATGATGTTGAATGATCAGTTCTAGTTCACTCCAACCCATTCCGAAGGAGCTTTATCACTCCAAAGAACTCAGTTCCACTGCTCCACAGCCCAGTGCTGGGGGGCTTTAAACTCCTCCAGCCAGGTCTCACTCTAGCCTTTTGGGGGTCTAACCAAGATTAAAAATAAAAGCAGAAGCCATGCTAACACTACACTACCACACTAACATACTAACACTATACTAATGCTATACTAACCTGATGTTATTAGCTGATGTTGACTTTTTACTACCTAATAGCATTTTTCTATAGTCTTCCCTCAGGCTAAGCTAGTTAGCTTGACCGCACTGTCATGCAGTTATGGGTATATAATGACATTCATAAGTCTTGTTATTGTTCTCCTTTTTAATTGGTCTTACAGAATTATATCTAAAAGGTTAGGAATCACATTAGGGCTCAACCGTCTAAGCGTTGGCCCTATCATCAGGAGATCGCGAGTTTGATCCCTGGTGATGCTACAGCCATCCATAGCCGGGAGTCCGAGAGAGCACAACTGGCCTCGCTCTCTCTGTGTGGGTGGGATGGCTGCCCTTCTCCCCTCATCACTCAACGCCATGCTAGTCAGCGCAGGCGTCTGTTAGCTGACGTAACAGATCTGGCGGTTGGCGCTTTCCTCCGAGCGCGTTCAGCTGTCCAGCGACGTTGCGTGAGCGGCAGTTCGAAAAGATGCGGTGGAGCTTCACAGGTCTCGGAGGAAGCCTGTGTTAGCCTTTGCCCTCTTAGCGTTGAAGGCATCGTGTGATTGGGGGAGTCTTAACCAGCGGGTGGAATTGGAGACGACTAAATTGGTGAGATAATTGGGTAAAAAAAAAAAAAATAAAAAATGGCATTATGCTAACATAAAAACAAACCCTTATTTTTGAGCTTTTTCTTTGCATCTTCTCAATTTCTTGTCTGTTTTTCAACTTCTGATGTGTACATTCTTTTTTGAGATGATTAATCAGTCACTTTTTTTTCCTCACTTGCACATCTAACATGCCCAATGGCACAGCAATATCACAAAAGTTGTTATGGGGCCCCCTGCTGGCCATGGAGCCCTAAGCAGCTGCTTATGTCACTTATCAGGTAGAGCGAGCTGTGTCTAACTGATGCTTGGCGTTGGGCGTGGTGACCTCAGGCTAATGTGCGGCTGAGCCAGAGCTCCCCATTCTATTGGCAGTGCTTTTCTGTGGAGGTTATACAAGCTGGACTCCTGTGTCAGAAACAGGAGCAAATTAAAGTGGCTGAAGTCACTAATTACAAGGGCTGTCTGAATACTTTTGGGCACATATCATGTAAATCCCCAGTGTGCTCCCCTAAATCTAAAGACTTAATGTACCACTCATTAAAACTCTCTCTGTCTCTCTGTCTCTTCCTCTTCCCACTAGATCTCCAGCCACCAGTCCCACTCCTCAGAGACGGGCCCCTCCTCCGGGACCCCCGGCTCGGCCCAGTTCTCGTGGCTCCGCCCCTGGGCCCCCTGCCGCAGGGGGGCCGCCTGTGCCCTCTCGCCCCGGGGCCTCACCCGACCCATTCGGAGGGCCACCACCTCAGGTCCCATCCCGCCCTAACCGCGCACCCCCAAGCGTGCCCAGGTGAGAGAAACCACCCACCACGTTTTAGCGAAGCTAAGCTAAGGAAAGCTGTGACACTTTGTGATGATGTTGTTGAAAGGAGGTGCTGAATAAACATGCAGATCACTGTTTGCTGTCAGTGTAATTAGTCCTGCCTAACGAGAAACTCCATCTGCTCTCAGCCGAGGAGTGTGAGACACCTCCGAGTGGAGCGGTGTGGGTGAGTGATGATATGAATAGGGCTATTCACCGGTCACCACTTCAACGTTTAAACGATAAGAGAGAAACAATTAACTAACAACCTTCTACATACAGTAGCCAAAAACTCCCTTTTAACAACTGTCATTTATTAATGCTGTTTAAACGGAATTAACTGTCCGTCAGTCTTACTTTTGGTGCATTCAGACGTTCTTCATAATCTCGTGAATTTCCTTAAATGTTGCTTAAATGTCCGACAAAGTCATTCATACAGGCAGGAGGTGTGGGTGCCTGGCTGCCTCACTGCCTTTCCTCACTTGCCTAAGCAGTCACTACAAAAAAACCTGCATAACTCTACCATTTAGTTTGTTATCGCTTTATAATTTCAGCTTTTACTTTCACCATGCTGTCCTGGCTAGCATGAAGCAAGCTGTGAATATGAATATACAGATATATTTACAGATATATTACAATTGAAAAATGTTAGGGTTACAATTTCTTTATATTTTAAAATAAAACAATAAGTTATTTTAACAATTACACCTTCTTGAGCCTCAATTTAGCAAGATTGGTTTTTAAATCAATCATATTGAATTCCGAGCACCACAGAAGAGCTCGTCCTCACAGTCATGTGTGAAGGCTGAGGCCATATTTTGAGGTAAAAATCATGTTTTTCTGCAGTTTTAACTGCAATAATCTATACATGACTATGGAATATATGATTTAAATAACGTAAAGAAAACAAATGGCAAATAAATATTATAAAATATATAATGAAAGTTCCCCAGGAGTCGAGTCACTGGTGTTACTGCGTAACAAAAAAGCTCTTATTTTGAAATAAAAGTCACACTGATGACATCACTCGACTTCCTTTTACCTGTTTTCTGAGGATCTATGAAGAAAAGCACATGGTGAGTCCACTGTGTCTTTCAGTTATCAGAGATTTTCTCATTTAGCTCATGATTTCATATGAAGCTTTTAGCTGAAGTCACTGGTGTGACCGACTTTATTCTGAGGTAACTGTGAAAAAATAGAATACAAATGGATTAAATTACATATTTTAGTGGATATTCCATGATTGACAACATGTGGTTTGATGCTCTGTAGCAGTTACTTTGTAAAATGCAGTTTTCATTAAAATGTCTCTGGTCACCTTTATTATGTGTAACACCAATGAGGATCAGTAACACCAGTGACTCCTATAGACAGATAGAAAAGTGGACGTTTCTGTAGAATGACCCTGGTCCATTCACTATGAAAGGCGCACACAATGTAAAGAGAAGTGTGTGAAAACTCAAGATGGATCAAGTTTTTTCCCGAGCAACAATGCTGTATCGTTCACACCCGAAAGCAAAAACTATTACAGTTTGATGACGTGACAGTTTTCTGACCGTGAGTTGAGGAGGACTCTCTGAATGCACCATTAGTCATACTTTCCACGACTGTAGTTATCGTTCAAACGTTTAACCGTCCAAGCATTCGGCCGTTTAGTGTCTAGTTTGTTTTCAACGTCTCGAGTATGAATGACTGAGTGAATGAACTCACATGAGCACAGGTGCCTGAGCACTCAGTGTAACACTGTAGAGGAAAAGAGGAAGCCTGCACTATGTTCTAATTACACTGTTAGTGCATCACCCACCGTCACATAAAACCACAGAGAACGACACCTTGACCTACTACATTAAAGGCTGACCAATGGCGGGAAATGACTGTATGCATAGTTAAAGCCCCAGGGAACTTAAATATTTCTACGTAGGTTAATCTTGGCCAGTGGATTCGGCCAAAATTCTTTCTATGTAAATTATGAGGCCCTAATTTTGAGCCATGTGTACTTAAGCAGTATCCTGACCAATCACAAGGCAGATGTGGTTTGTCTCACCAACACAGCTTTAAAAAAATAAGTCCCTGTGAGTGCATGCACTCAATAATCCAATCATAATCTGATTTCTGCAGTTATCCAGTTATTCAGATGGTCATGTAAACACCATACTCCGATCTAGAAATCCGATAAATGAGATTTCTCAGTGCATGTGGACTCTTACTCTGATTTCTTTCACATTTCTCAGTCTGCGCATGTGCAAAATAGACGGCGTCACCAGATATAAGCGAGCAGCGTCGCCGCGAGACGCAGCGAAGCACTTTTGGAGCAACACTGAAACCAAATACAAAATAAAGGATTGAAATATTCTTCATTTTCTAGATGATGTTTGTTCATATTTTCTGGTAAAGTGGCGCGATGTTTTAAAAAAAAGCTGCGGCATAAAGTTTGAGTTTTACATTATGTTTCCGTCACGTCTTCTTCTGTGAGTTTATTGGCTGGTTGCAAAGCAGAAATCTGATTACTGTCTGATTCATGTAGACCTGAAGTTTTTACATTATCTGATTACTCAAGTGCATGTAAACGCATTGATCGGATTACTGACAAAATCTGATTTTTATTGGATTATTGAGTGCATGTAAACGCACCCTGTGTTTGAAAAAAAACTTATTCAGTGAAAGCTAACAACCAAGCGAAAGCTAACCTAGCAAACATAACTGAACTATCAAGCTAGCTTATCTGTCCGCCTGTCGTCTGTCCATCCGGTCATTCAGATGGCTACACCAGCATTAAAGTGAATAAGAATCTTTTTTAAGACGTCGTCATATAAAATCTGGACAATGTAGAGTCCGTTTCACTCATTTCTCTCTGCTTTGCTGGTTGTGTTTAGTTCTGCTTCAGTGCCACTGCAGACAGGGAGTGTTGGACTGAGGGTCATCTGAATATTAGGCCACGCCCACACAGTTCTCAGATAGGTTTGATCAGCAGTTTTTATATACGGAAGATCCAGAGAGGCCATCAACTGTTGCGATAATTTTCTGGATTGTTATCTTGAGATAACAAGATAAGTAACTCATTATTTCAAGATAACCATTTTGTTGTCTTGAGATAACAAGATAAGTAACTTGTTATTTCAAGACAACAATTTTGTTATCTTAACATAATAGGATAAGTAACTTGTTATTGCAAGATAATAATGTTGTTATCTTGAGATAAGTAACTCATTATTTCAAGATAACAGTTTTGTTATCTTGAGATAACAAGATAAGTAACTTGCAATTTCAAGACAATAATTTTGTTATCTTGACATAACAAGATAAATAACTCCTGAAGAAAGTTGCTATAATTAACTTCTTATTTAAGATAACATTTTTTATCTTGAGAAAACGAGATAATTAACTTGTTATCTCGAAATAACAATCCAGAAAATTATAACTACCTCATGGCCTCTCTGGACTTCCATTTTTTTCGTTCAAACTTTGCTGGATGTTTGAATAGATGTTGATCATGAACAGTTTTAATACTTTACGGGTTCCCTGGGCCTTTAAGCGGAGAGAGCGAGAGAAGGATACAGAGAGAGGCTGATAATGTTCGCTTTCTCTTTGATTTACTTCTGCACTGCTGATGTGGCCCTGTGTTGTGTGGGATTGGTGAAGTGAACTGGTCTCACACTAGCAGGGAAGCTTGCCTCCTGAAGTCAACACACACACACACACACACACACACACACACACACACACACATACACACATACACACACACACACACACCTTGAAATACACACTTTAACTCTCCCTTAACATCTGTAGCAAGTGGTGAATCCCTTAAAATTGAATCCATAATAGTTTAAAGCTTTGTTTAATGAATTACTGCAATTTGAGTGATTACCAAGATCTTTTTATTAGTTTTTTGTATTAGCTTTTACAGTCAGTCAGTAGCAGTTCTGGAGTTATTTTAATCCGGTATGAGTCTACAGTGTGTGTAGTTTTACAGTCTGACGGTAATAATTGTGGAGTGATTTTAATCCAGTATGAATCTGCAGTGTGTGTAGTTTTTACAGTCTGATAGTAATAATTGTGGAGTGATTTTAATCCAGTATGAATCTGCAGTGTGTGTAGTTTTACAGTCTGACAGTAATAATTGTGGAGTGATTTTAATCCAGTATGAATCTGCAGTGTGTGTAGTTTTTACAGTCTGATAGTAATAATTGTGGAGTGATTTTAATCCAGTATGAATCTGCAGTGTGTGTAGTTTTTACAGTCTGATAGTAATAATTGTGGAGTGATTTTAATCCAGTATGAATCTGCAGTGTGTGTAGTTTTACAGTCTGACGGTAATAATTGTGGAGTGATTTTAATCCAGTATGAATCTGCAGTGTGTGTAGTTTTTACAGTCTGACGGTAATAATTGTGGAGTGATTTTAATCCAGTATGAATCTGCAGTGTGTGTAGTTTTACAGTCTGACAGTAATAATTGTGGAGTGATTTTAATCCAGTATGAATCTGCAGTGTGTGTAGTTTTACAGTCTGACAGTAATAATTGTGGAGTGATTTTAATCCAGTATGAATCTGCAGTGTGTGTAGTTTTACAGTCTGACAGTAATAATTGTGGAGTGATTTTAATCTGGTATGAATCTGCAGTGTGTGTAGTTTTACAGTCTGATGATACAGAAAACTTGACCCATATCTCTTCATAATAACATCAGATGAATGTGAACATCTACTAATTATTAAATACACTGTATTTGACATTGAAGCCTTTGAAAAGTTCCTTTCACCACTTGCTACAAACTTGCAACCTACTGACCTCCAATTCTAACCGACAAGCTAACTCTCCTGTCCTTTCTAATAATCCATTAGTTGAACTGCACAACGTCCAAGATGAAGGTCAGATTGTTCTGGAGTCAGTAATGAAGTCCTCTGATGCTCTTCTAGATCAGTTTCATTGGCTTTTATAGACTTCGACCTGGAGGTTTTGCAGTTCAGTCTTGTTATCAGCTGAGACT